AATGAACCTAACTAGAAACACAAAAGACTTGTGCTAAGAAAACTACAGAACACTCCTGTAAGAAGCAATAATAAATGGAAAAATGTTCTGTGTTCATGCATAGGAAGACTCCATATACTGAAAATGACAATCCTATGGAAAAAGAAAAGTATTCTAGGTGTTCAACACAATCCCAATAAGATACCAAATTCATTTTTTCAAGGAGATTAAAAGAGAAATTGTCAAGTTTATTTGGAGAGGAAAGAGACCCTAAATAAGCAAAGTACTTCTGAAAAACAAACATAAAGTGGGAGGCACAGCAGTCCTTGACCTCAAAACCTACCACATGGTGGTAGTAACCAAAACAGCACATGGTGGTAGTAACCAAAATAGCATGGTACTGGTACAATGACAGATACATAGACCAATGGAGCAGAACTGAGAACCCAGAAATGGACCTATCTATCTATGGTCAGCTGATATTTGACAAAGAAAAAGAACCTATCTAATGGGGAAATGACAACTTCTTCAACAAATGGTGCTGGCAAAACTGGACTGCTACCTACAGAAAGCTGAAATGGGATCAAGAGCTCACACCATACACAAGAGTCAACTTAAGGTAGATCAGAGACCTATGAGTAAAGCCAAAACCCATAAAGTTCATAAGAGACAAACTGAGACCAAAATTTGAAGGCTTAGTCTATGATATAAAGAGGCTGACAAATACAGCCAGAAATATACAATTTGGAGAGAATAAAACTGATGCACAGATTAAATCCCTGCATGCATAAATGCCCCCTTGCCCTTCTTTCAATAGGGTGAAAAGAAATCCTACAGATTGGGGAAAAAATATTTGGCAATACCATCTCAGACAAGGGTCTTATAACAAAAGTTTACAGAACATTCCTGGGCCTCCAGAAGAAAAAGACTGATAATCAAAGTATAAAACAGGCATGGCCAACAGACAAATGAAGAAATGTTCAAAATTTCTAGCAATAAGAGATGCAAATCAAAACCACAATGAGAATACCATCTCACCCTAGTGACAGTGGCAAAGTTTAGCAGAGCAGCAAGCCATAAACGTTGGAGAGGATGTGGAGATGAGAGAACTCTAATGCACTTTTGGTAGGATTGTAAAATAGTACAACCACTGTGGAAAGCAATTTGGTGGTGTTTCTTCAAAAAGCTGAACACAGAAACTCCATATAACTCAGCTATTCCACTACTAGGAATATACTCCAAGGAACTTATAACTGAGACACAATGGAGATTTTTACACCAATGTTAATAGCAGAGTTATTCACCATACCAAGAACATGGAAACAGCCCAAATGTCCAGCTACAACTGAATGGATTGAGAAATTGTAGTACATCCATACAACAGAATATGATGAAACATTCAGGAGCAATGATTTAGGAAAATAATATCTCACTTGAAAGAGACTAGAGAGTATTATACAGAGTGAACTAACTCAGTCTCATAAGGATAAATAATGCATAAGACTATTATTGTAAAAATAGAAGGATAACTAGTAAAATACATATGGGGACCCAAGTAGGGAATGAGAGGGAGAAGAAGACTAAAGGTGGGCAGGGTTGGGAAATCAGAGTGTCACACAATTTCGTAGGCAGAGGGAGAGAGTAAAGGAAATGGGAAAGGTCCAGCTGGGACCTGAATATACAGGGTAATGATGGACATAGTCTATTGGTGGTTAATTTCATAAAACATAATGAATCTGAATGATTGTATGAAACACAATGAGAATGAAATATAGTGTGAAACACAATTTATATAGGCTTTGTAAGTAAACTAATAAAAAGAAAATAAATGTTTTTCATTTGTTTTCCTAAATTTAAAAAATTAACCAACCAAAAACCCAACACAAAGCTAGTGGTGTTGTGTGATGGTACACTTGAACACAATCACTTCAAATAAATCCCTGAAGAACATTTTCACACTGAGAGATGGGATGATTATGAACTGTGATTTCATAAGAGTATAAAGAAAGGAGAAAGCATATAATGAATTTTCTTTTTACTATTAAAAACAACAGAGAAACGACATATTGGGGAATTAGGCCTGCTGCCACTTTGGTGGCTGCTGGGTTTGCCAGAGTAAATGTAACAGCTCTCTAGTTTAATTGGGGTTGTCTCAGAATCCCATCTGCCATTCCTTCTTTGTCTGGCCAATAAAACCAAATGAAGTTAGTTTTGGCTGCATCTGGATGGACAAAGAAGTGAGAGTTGCAGAATCAGGAGTTCCTGCGTCTCAAGTTACCTTCTGGAGTGATCCTGATACTTGAAAGTTTCAAAATTAATTATCCTTTATTTGCTGTAACCATTGACATTCATGGCAATTGACATCTACATGGCCAACAGTGTAGCAGACCCTGGATTAATCTCCCTGTCTTTTATAAAATTTTACTTATTGTTGTCAAGAATATATGCAGAAAAACAGACATCAATTTTAGAGATAGAGATAAGGAGGATGGTCATCGGAGGAGGCACCTACAAGCCAATAAATGCCTTGAATTAACACAAGTTGAGCAATACTAAATGAATCTGCTCTTGGAGAGACTCTGGAGGGAGCTTGGTCCTGACAGCACATTGATTTGAACTTCTAGACTTCAGAACAATAAGGCAGTAAAGATCTGTTCTTATAATATTCAGTTTATATACTTTGCTCCAAAGGCTTTAGAAAACTAATACAACCACCAAGCATGGAGCCAGACTGTCTGGGTTCAAAGTCCAGTTCTGCCTCTTTTACTAGCTGTGTGACCTTGGCAAGTTATGTGATCTTTCTGTGTCTATGGCCTTATTTGTAAAATGGAGATGAGAACACTGCCTATCCTCTAGAACTGGCTGCTTATTGAGGGGGTTCAATGATTCAATACACGTGAAGTACAAAGAACTGTGTTTGAAACATAGTTTGTATCATAAAAATTTATATATGAAGAAAGAATTTTTTAAAAACTGATCTTTAAAAACATTTAGCAAATTGCTAGTTTATGATTAGTCCAAAGGAGACTAATGGATCACATGAACTCAACTTCTATGATCCTGAGACCTAAAGAGCTAGACAGTGCCCAGATATCACCACTGACCACTCTAAAAGGGGTCAAGTAGAAGATTCTGGATAGAGTGGGGTGAAACATGGAACAAAACGGAAAAAAGCATACAAATGGTTAGGCTTACTGGTCCAATAGAGACAGGTGGGAACTCCCATGATGAGCCTGGAACAAAATTCATCCCTGGGGCTTCACTTTTAGCCAAACAATAGACAGGTCTATAAGGTGACCAGGAACACTAGAGAGGCACTCACTTCTTAGAATAACCACCCTGGAAGGCCAGAAAGCACCATTTGACCATGAAGAAGTCCTGAGGGCAGGAAAGGGTCGGCTAGAAGGTTTAATGGAAATCAGAAGTAAAAGGAGGTAATAGGAAAAGTTCAATGTCATTAAGGGTGTTGAAACTAATATTATGAAAGAAAATGTGTATGAATGGAAAAACTGGTGTTTTGTAAACCTTTATTGAAATAAAGACAAACAGAAATAGAAATGTACAAATGAAAAAAATTGCTTGCTTATATGATTTTGTTAACAAGGTCATACATATTAGACCCCGTACATAACATGGGGCCTGTTTCCACAATGGTTAGTACTTGACTGTTAATCAAAGGGTTGGCAGTGTAAACTGGCCCAGCAGCTGAGCAGGATAATGGCCTGGTGATCGGTTCCTATAAATCACACCCTAGGAAACACTTTATACGGTTTTACACTGTCCCTTGGAATTATCAGTTGAAATTGGTTCAATGGCACTCAACAACACACACAGAAAATTAGAAATTCATAAATTCTATGAATTAAAAAAAAACTTTGCTGAAAACAATGTATATGAACTTTGTAAGTAAACTAGTATAAAATAGAAAATTTATTTTAAAAAAACTTCCTGTGATTTGAGAGAAAGTTTTATACAAGAAATTGGCTTTCCATTCAGACTTTCACATTCATTTTGTTTTATACTGTTAATTATAATACCCACAATATAATCACACTTTCCCCACTTCCTCCAAAAGCGTGTGACTAATTTGCTTCATGGAGAATGCCAAAATCAAGGAAAACAGATTAAAAATATACTTCTAATATTTCTGATATTGCTCACAATGCTTGCTAAAGGGTTCTGCAGACTGAAGCTGTTCAGAATCCACACTTACCTAGAGGCTCACTGTCTTAGGCTCCCTTCTCAGAGAGACAATTTAGCCTGCTACTGAACAGACTGAGAAATTGTCGTACACTCACACAACAGAATACTGTGAGCATTCAAGAGCAACAATTTTCAAAAATACTACATAACATGGGAGAGACCGGAGAGCATTATGCGGAATGAACTAACTCCATCTCATAAGGACAAATAATGTATAAGAGACCATTACTGTAGAAGTAAAAGGATAACTAACAGAACATGTATGGAGATCCAAGGGGGGAAGGAGTGGGAGCTGAGGGATAAGGATGCGTAGCTAAATCATGGAGTTGCACAGTTTGGTGGGTGGAGGGGTTGGTAAAGGAAATGGTTGGTGGGTGGAGGGGTTGGTAAAGGAAATGGGAAAGATCCAGCTGTGACCTGAAAAGACAGGGTAATGAAGGGTGTAATCCAATGGTGATTAATTTTATAAAACATAATGAATGGGAATGATTGTATGAAACACAATGTGAATGTAGAATAGTGTGAACACAATGTATATTAACATTGTAAGCAAAAGAATATAATTTGCTTTTGAAAAAAAGATTTGATTAAATATGCAGATAATATTTATTTGCAAGAAGAAATTTTTTCACTTTCCCCCACTAGTGATATTTCTTTACTGATTTGAAGGGACAGGCCAGGTGGCACTTCTGGCATGTCCTTGTGGTACCTTCTACATGTCCAGGGACCTCAGGACACTATGTCCATCTCAAGCTCCTGGAAGCATTGAATCAAATGGCATCATCACATGGTGTCATTGAAAAAGAGATCAAACTTACCCAAATAGTTGTTGCTCTTGTACATCTCGGTGATGTTGATTTTTGTGGCCCCCTGGGGAATCTCAACCACTCGGTGGTAGCCCAGGCTAGTGAGGGCATGCTTAAACACACCCGACACAACCTGGCAGCCACTGTTATCGCCTCCACACACCCCGCACTTGTCCACGACTTTGTCAGAGCCCAGGTAGTCATCACAGCCAATACTCTGCAAAAAGGGAGAACATAAAAGACTGTAGACAATGCCAGCAGCACCCAGGGAGGAAGGAGGGGAGAGGAGAGGACCGAAGACCTCTTGGTTGTACAGGAACCACTGACCTTGCTCATGCCCTCATTCAGCTCTTACATATAAAGACATTATTTCTTCCCTTCACTCAACAGATATTAATGAGAATGGCACAGGCTAGGGAAAGGTTCAGATTTGTTGTTCACAGGGCTGTTGTGAGTTGTAGTTGACTCCACAATACCTAACCACAATATGCTGGGCCAAGGAACTGTTTGATGTCCTTGTGAAATGTATGTAATAGGGAAAGAGCCAGCTAAGCTAGTTGCTGTTGATCTGACTCTGACTCAGCACAAACTGTGTCAGAACTAAACTCCACAGGGTTTCCAGTAGCTAAGAGAGATCATCTGGCCTTATTTCTGTGGCACTTCTGGAAGGACTGGACCCTCTACCTTTTCGGTCAGTTGTCAAGTGTCTGGCCTCTACACCATCCAGGGACTCTGCCTACAGTAAACAAGACAAATGACAGCATGGTACTGGTACAATGACAGACACATAGATCAATGGAATAGAATTGAGAATCCATGGTTAACTGATCTTTGACAAGGAGATGAAATCAGTGAAGTGGGGAAACGACAGCCTTTTTAACAAATGGTGTTGGCAAAATTGGAAAAATATCTGCAAAAGACTCAAGCAAGACCCACACCTCACACCATACACAAAAACCAACACAAGGTGGATCATGGACCTAGGACTAAAACCAAGGACTAAAAACTTCATTACAGAAAAGGTAGGAACAACACTAGAAGTCCTAATCCACAACATAAACAGTCTTCCCAGTATCCTGGAAAACCTACAACCAGGAGAAGACAACATAGATGAATGGGATCTTCTAAGACTCAAATTCCTATGCACATCCAAAAACTTCTCCAGTAGGGTAAAAAGGGAAGCCACTGACTGGGAAAAAGTATTTGGTAATAACGTATCAGATAAGGGACTTATATCCAGAATTTATGAAATACTTGAGCACCACAACAAGATAAAGGTAAATAATCCAATAGAAAAATGGGCACAGGATATGAACAGGCACTTCACCGAAGACGACATTCAGATGGGTAACAAGCACATGAAGAAATGCTCAAAATCCCTAACCCTAAGAGAGATGCAAATTAAAACAACTATGAGATATCATTTCACCCCAGTCAAAATAGCAAAATTTAACAGAACAGAAAGCAACAAATGCTGGCGAGGTTGTGGAGAAACTGGAACCCTGATTCACTGTTGGTGGGAGTGTAAAATGGTGCAACCCCTGTGGAAAGCAGTATGGCGCTTTCTCAAAAAGTTGCAAATAGAGATACCATTTGACCCAGCAATTCCACTACTGGGAATATACCCTGAAGAGACCATAGCTGACATCCAAGCAGATATATGCACACCCATGATTATTGCAGCTTTGTTCACAATAGCAAGGAGTTGGAAACAACCTAAGTGCCCATCAACAAACGAATGGCTAGAGAAGCTGTGGTATATTCGCACAATGGAGTACTATGCTGCATTAAAAAACAAGGAACTCATGCAATATTATTCAAAATGGTTGACTCTGGAGAACATTATGCTGAGTGAAATATCCCAGTCACAAAAGGACAAATATTACATGATGCCACTGTTGTAGAATGGGACTGTCCTTGGGGTTGGGGAGAGACTGAGTAAGATGGGTTCAATAATGTATACTGCACTGAAACAGAGGAGGGAGAAAACTGTTTAAAAGAGATATATAACTAGGTATTTCTGTCATCACAGGAGTCTAGAGCGAGGGCTACATGGTGGAGGGGAGCTGGGGGAGGGTTTGTAAAACAATGAAAGAATCTTTTCTTTTACTTTTCCATAATTTTTGACTCATGTACTTCTAACTTGTTAGTCAAATTTGTGTCTTCTAGGTTGCAACACCCCCATGATACATCTTCAAGGATATGAACATGTACGGCCAAGCACAATCAATAAGAGTGCATCTAAATTCCAAAATCAATCTCCATAATAGTCTATGTGTTTCCTACTGCCAAAGGGGTCCTTTAGAGTAGTGAGAGAAGATCTTCACCCTGAAACCCACAGCGTCCCTTTTCAGCAGGAAGTAGCTAAGAGAATATGCCATCCCCTTTTCCTTATGACTCAGGGTGAAGTCTCTCTCAGGGAGGAGTGATAGGGAATGGCAAAGGACACACTGACAAAGAAGATTAATCAGAACTGGCTTTGACAAGCACTGTGGCATTTGGACAAGAACAAACTGGAAGGAGGGTAGAGAGAATGGTGCAACAATGAATGAATGGAAACCCAAAATCTCTGTAAATGTTTATGAAAATTAATAAAATATAATTATAGGGAAAAAAAGACAAATGCACAAATAGTGTGTATCTGGAGACAGTAAATGATCAGTGGAAAAATAATGCACAGAAAAAGAATAGAAAAGGCAAGTAACAAAACTATTCCTTTTACAAAATTATCTCAAGAATGTTGGTGTTGATTGCCTTGAGTTGACCATGACGAATAGAGACCCTATGACTAAAAGGCCTGAAGTCCCTCTACAACTATCAACTTTTATCAGAGTTCATAGAGTTTCCAGAGGCATGTTATTTAGGAAGTGGATTAAAGAGGATTACATTATAAACTGGAGCTAGAGTGGCCTGGTGGTTAGAAGCAGCAATCCCAAAGGCATGCAGTTTGAATCCACTAGCTGCTCTGCAGGAGAATGCTAGGGGATCTGCTTCTGTTTGATTTACTGCTTCTGAAAATCCAATTCGATGGTACACACCACCACCTCCAACACTAAAATCTAGGGAGCTCTGGTGGTCTATTCGTGCCTACCTGAAGGCAAGTGGTTTCTCCCACAGCTCTTCTGTGGGAGAAAAATGAGCAATCTCCTTCCATGTGATTTATTGCCTCTGAAAACATGCTGTAGGATCAGCTATGAGTCAGTTCTGACTCAAAGGTACATAAAATATCAACAACAGGAGCTGCAGTTTTATTTACATAGTGTAGAACGTCAAGTTGTCCCCCATATACATCTAAAACTGGGTTTTCTGATTCCTTCATGGCCTTCCTCCGTCAATCAAACTCTGAGATTCCATGATTTCACACCTCCTCACTCTCTCTGCCCCTCCCCTTCCCCCTTTGGACTTCAGTATACATTTCATTAGTTATCCTCTATTTTTACACTACTTATGTAGTGTTTGTCCTTATGAGACTGAGTTGGTTCACTCAGCGTAATTCTCTCCAGCCTCTCCCATATTATATGAAAAACAATGTGAATGAGGGACTGTGTGAAATATGATGTATATGAATAAAATACAAAGTATACAAATTCTGTATGTAAATTGTGTAAAATAAAAACATTTTTTAAGAAAGTAACTTGTCTAATGTATCACAGCTTGAAGGGGAATAAAAGGATTAATTTCCATGTAAGAAAATTAAATCTAGGTGTGTTCCAATTAAACTGCATTATATTGCCTCTCAAAGAAAAGATGTTTTAAATGCTTTATTTTACCTGCAATACATTAAATGATTAAAAAAATTTAAAAATAGTAATATTTTTTAGGGCATTATGATTATCATAAGAGTCCGGAATGAGGGTTGCAGAGTGGAGTATACTCGGGGTGGGGGTGGGGGTGTGCGGGGTAATTGTGTACCAATGAAGGAGTTTTTTCTTTTGCTTTTCAAGGAGAGGAGCAAACTGGGGGTGGTGGGCATGGGGGGGGTGGGGAGAAAAGTGCAACAATGGATGAATGGAAATCCAAAAATCTAGGTAAATATTCATTGAAATTAATAAAACAAACAATTTTTAAAATACTTGGAAATATTTAAAAAACCTTGCATTTTATCTCCACATTATCCATTTTAAATTTTAGATACAAACATTTGACAAAGTACTTTTAAAAAAGTGGAATTTCTAGATTCTGCTTCTTAGGAAGTGAGAATAAAGTTTGATGTGATGGGTATCTCCACTGGTCAACTGTGGATGACCGACGTATTGAGTGGCAAGGCTTTTATCTGGCTACGACCAAAGCATCTTCCTCACTCCCTCCTTCCCCCAGGAAGAATGAAGGGAAGCAAGGGATAACAAATGGGTGACAAACTTGAAACTTGGACCTGGAAACAGGGGATGCTCTTTTATAGTGAGTTGCATAGTGTTTAAGGAACTCTCACCTCTGCCTTTCATTCCCAACCCACCAAAAAAGAACTTTCCCATTACTCACACCAAGATCTTGTTATTTTATGTTTTCCCTACTTCAGTTCGTCTGTTTCCTTTGGGACAATTCCACTCTGCACTGAGGGGAAAAAAACCCACCCGGGTTGCAATGTTCTTCACAGAAGCCTTTTCCACTTGTGGAGCTAAATGCATATGGGCTTATGATAATTCCTGGATCCAAAATTAAGACTCATGGTCTGAGCAAAGAATTATGCCACATTTCCTGGAGAGGGGAGGTACATAGAATGAGTGGATTGTAGTTTAGACAAGAAAATACTCCAAGTACAGAATTATTTCACTTGGTAATGGGGATACAGGAACGATTCTTGACATCAGAATGACATTGTGAAACTTAAGACACATGGTTGCTGAATCACGGGCTTGTGTTGGTTCTTGAACTTTAAGAGTAATCAATAGATTATGTCTCAGGGGAAAAGTGGTCAACAAAATATTCCAAGTCCCCTTCCGAGTTTGTTAAACAAAGCTGCATCTGTCCATTTGGGTCTTACAGGTCAAATCCTGCAGGTCAACTCAAACCAAAAGGTGTTCCTTCTTTCTCCCCAACATCACATTTGATTGACACCTTTCTGCAGGCACTCTGCCTCCATACATTATTGCTTCCATATTCCTCATTGCACATTAGTTCATCGGTAATAACTAGGCTCCCTTCGCAAATAGCTTCTCTGTAAAACATTACTCTTGACAATAACAGAACATCGTCTCAATATGTTCATCCACATTCAAT